CTCTTCATTTACAATTAATGCCAAAAAAATCGACTTTTTACCCATAGTGCAGTGGCGAAAAGTCTGGACATGTTTTTCGCCAGCCAAAAGTTTTTTTTTACATTGTATAAATAACTGCAAATTGAATCGAGCCAAGCCCACTCTTATGCTGGCAACATATCAAAATCATCAGCCACATAAACAATGGGTACATGAATCTTATCGACGGTTGGCTCGTAAATGTAATCACACAATTTGTTTTTCCTCAGACACATATTCCAATCCATAACTTGAACCGCATGCAAACTTTCCGCTTCGTTATGCTGTCGCAAGACCATGGATTCCTGCAAAGAAAAGTAAAGTATCGTATTAGATTTTAGTTTCTATAAAATACAATTGAGTTCATCTTACCTTTATCTTCTCCCACTTGTCGTCGACGTCTTGTAGCCAGCTGAGCAGCAAGCGACCATTAAAGCGACAGCGCGCACTCTTTTCCTTTTCGTCTTGCTCTGGCGTAATCATATTATAGATTTCATCGTCTTTTAGAAACGTACACACGGAATAGGGAGCAGCTTGGCCAGATATACTTCTCGCTGCCTTTGAGTGCACTCGGATTATCTCCTGCTCTACACTCAAACAGAGTTTCTCTCTTTCCACTGTGTGCCCGTCGGACAGATCTCGCCTGGCTTTCTCTTGCTGGATATAAAAGTCTCGCATACATTCGGGAATGGCATCTGGCACTTCGATTACAGGCGTCGTCACATTTTTATTTAACAGATAAGTACGCTTCGTGAGCAGATAGTCATTGTAGCCCTGAGGTGGCCTAGGTTTAACGGGATACAGATTTCTCCACTTCCTCTCCACTTGCCTGCGAATATTCAAGAACATCTGAAATCCATTCGTAAACGGATAATCATGCGGGTGGGTGTCGCCAGAGGCCATCGAGTTATCGGCATGAGAATTTTTCGAATTATCATCGTTATTCTTCGGTCTTATTTTTCGCTTACGCGGATGCAGCTCAACATTCGAAGATGAATTGATCTCCTTCGACGATGACGTCGAGGACGTCGAAGGACTCGGCACATTCGGCAACACCTCATGATCAAATTGGTTGTGCTGTATGGGACTGGCTGTCATATTTGTATAGGAGCCCTTGATATCAGCATTGTCATTGGCATGATTCGATGAGGCTGGCGATGGGGAGCTGCTCTGCATTTGCGGGGAGGAGTTGTTCGAGCTGCGTTCGGCGCTTGTGACGCCGCTGCGATAGGAGCTGCGTAAGACCCTTAGGTTCTTTTCGTCATTAAATAGCTTGATATTCTTATCATCGAGTATGGTCGAGCAGGCGATATTGACTTTCTGTGGACTCTCATGTGGACTCAGACATTGATTGGATAGCACCGTGTCAATCGAATCACTATTGGAGCTGACAACATAGGGCAACGCCGCATTCCGTGATGCAGCTACTTTACCAGTACGCAGGACATTACCATCCGTGTCGATCGAGCAATTCTGCTGCGGTATTACAATCTTCAGCGGTGGCACTTTCAAGGCACCATTATATGAGCTATCATTGCTCTTATAATCCTCGCTACCTTCTGTTTCATTTTCAATTTCCACAGTCTTGTTCACCTCCAGCTCTTTGTCAGCAACTGTCGTACTTATTTTACTACCTGAGGGCGAGTTTTTGGTGGACGCCAACTTTGAGGTTTTCTCCAGTTTAGATGATACCTTAAGTGAAGTATTCTTTACGTCTTTCAAATTATCTAAATCTTTGCGTTTCTTCTTCTTTACGTCGTCGCCATGTTCCTCGATGTCTTCCTCAACATCCGAATAACTTCGCTTTGTGCTTGTCACGCTTTGAGCTATATTTTGTTCAGCATTTTTACTCTCTGAACTGGAATCCTCTGTTGCTGCCTTCTCCTTGGTTTCATTGACGACTTCTAACTGCTTATCCGTGGCAGTGACTTCTTCAACATCTGCATCACCTTTTTTATCATTTTTCTTTGAATGCGTACGCGATGTTTCTTTTTGAAAGAGAGAACAAATACATAATACAAATTTAATTAGTAGCTATTAAAAGGTGTATTTATTAATAGGGACACGACTGTAGAGAATCATTCACACATATGTATATTTTTATAAATACTTTGTAGAGCTACGACGATTTCTCTCTCTGCCTTTCACATTTCGTGACAAACTGCTTTTCTAACGATATGAAATAACCCCACCCAAATTAGTATGTAGAGGATATTTTCCTTATAAGACTCACACATATAAATACATATACACTTTCACATATGAGACGGCACTCACAATTAACATTTGTCTGTATGTGAGTATGTACACATGTATGTATGCAAAGAAAAATAAGAATGGTACATTAGAAATGTCACAGAACAGCTCAATTGGGCGTTATCTATGGCAGCACTCATGTAACAATAACCGTAACAGTAAAGTTCGTAGGGCTAATAAAAGAAAAATGAGATCACAATCCAATCAATATGTACGCTAGATACACATACACACGCATTAGTTATAAACGTTATTGCAAAAGTATTTATTTCTTAGTTTTAACTGCAATTTACGCCCACATATTTGGTAGCTGCGTGTTACTTCAAAGATTCGTTGTATGTATACGCTATTGTAAAGTATGTATGTACCTATACGCAACTACACACGTACAAACAGAGGTACACATATACAGTGGCGGCGTACATATAAACAGATAGTAGATTTGTATGTTTTGGCTTACCTGTTGAGGACGTTGCAGTCATTTGGATTAATAAAGCCATTTGTTGTCTTTCCGACATGGGGGTATTTGAACTGGGTCTAGCTGGTGTGACCCCTGTTGTAAATCCAATCCCCTTTGGTCTTGGGGGTGGCATAATACCCAAATTCAACAGCAAACACGAAAACTTAAAATGTTGAACAAAAACAAGAACTCTGACTGAGGGACAGTGTGGCCATAAATTGTAATTGTAAAAATATTTAACCGCAAAAACTATCGCATATAAAATGTGCTTGTGGATTGTATAATTGTAGTGCGACACTTTTCGATAACAATACGAAAGAATCGAATCTGTAAGGAGTTTAGCGTTATGACATCCAATTGCTTTCCAATTACTGAGACAGAAGTATAGAAAAATAATGGCCAAATATGGTAGAAAGTAAGATTTATTTTCATACAGCATTTTGGTTTTATTGGGCATACAGCGAATATATATCATAAGAAATTTATTTATATTTTCTTTTAAAATCTGCCCAAATTTCATTTGTACCGGGCAGTTGTAATTGTTACTCATACATAAATTTTGTTTTCCAGTTTCTGAACTATATACTTAACGTCTAGCCGGAGCCCTGCCTCGTCCACGTCCTCTTGGACCACCGCGTCCACGGCTGCCTCTGCCTCGTCCACGATTTCCAACACGCCCGCTGTCTTTCTTCTTGGACTTCGACTTCGGAGTATCATCGATAAGCAACGTTTCCAATGGCAGACTGTCAGGTAATATAAAATAACGAATATTGTTGCCACGAATGCTTAAGGACTCCAAGTGGACTGGATCTCTATTTTTAATAGTCATTTTAACGCTCTTCAAGTGAGTATTCATTGCCACATCCACTCCAGTAATTGTGCCATGAATTTGAGTACCATTTTTTAATTCAACTGTTACAGTCTCATGACTGAGCTTCATCAGAAATCTAGAAAAATAGTAAAGAGGATATATTATTAAATTGAAATTTATCTAATGTTCTTTTACTGTAAATAAATACCAAGCAAGTTATTTTTCAAATACAAACAAACTAATATATGTACATATTATTGCCTTTATTTTGTGTCCTTTTCCAATCTTCAAATTTGGCGCTCAAAATATTGCTGAAGGCATAAGACATACACACACAGACACAATCTAATTTACTTGAGGTTCCTAGCAATTGTCAACTGCGGCCAGCAAAGGGGGCTCACCGCGTTATAACTATACACATTAATATTAAAATTTATGGAACATATTTTATTTGTTAATCATGATATCTTTTTGCATACAAACAAACGTTTAACTGCACATGCTAATTTGTAGTCACACATGTATGTCCATGTTTAATGTACAAACGTATAAAGTAGCAACCATGTTTATACATTTAATACAATTTAGATTTCTCATACCTCACCAATTTCATCTTTGAAATATTTGTGTTTCTATGCACGCGTATGACTTTCTTAGTATATGTTTTATATAAAAGGTTACAACTTTCTGCCAAATACAAAATATATACAAACTGAGCTGCGCCGGCAATAAAAAGAATAAAATATTAAAGCCGCATCTCCTTATATCGATATCGAAATGGCAACTGTGGGTAGTCAAGATAACGTGGAACTATCGTTGTTAAATTATAATCAAAATATAATTGTAAGGAAGATTTGAGAGTATTGAATTAATTATGATTCAATTTATATATAAATAAAATAGACAATAATAAAAAGTATTACCGAAATATGTTCATAGATATATATGTTTCGATAGTTTCACTCACGTTCCACATCGCATACATTTGTTCTTTATATAGGGTGTGATAGATAACTTCTTAGAACACTTTTTTTCAACTGTTTTCCAACACCACGTCGCCTGTGCCAAAAAGATTCCAGCCAGTATTAACTAAACGAGCAGCATAAATAATTTTGTAATTATGTGGCTATAAAAGTGTACTAAAGTTTATTTGATATTTAAGAAGAGGGACGACTTTGTGCCCTTTGAAATACTCAAAAGAACCTGCATAGTTAGAAGGCGATGGCGTGTTTTTACGAACACCGAATATATGCTTATGTGATACTTATACTTTTCTTATTTATTAACTTATTTGCGCAAGGAAATATAACAGGTAAAAGTGAAAACTAATAACATATTTACTCTTGACTTGAAAGGTTAACTATTCAATGTGCCAGCTTATGTTTTTTTCACAAAAGATCTGTGTTTTGTTTTTGCATATTCCAAACGCAAATGCCTGTATACAAGTTTATACACCTCTATATATGTACAATACATACATACTTTTTTTGCGTATGCATGTAGGTGTGTCGAGTGTGTATGTGTTTATGCCGCTTGCAAAACGCTTAAAATGTTAAATATATGTAAATACATGCGATTATTAACAATAATCAACGACGTTACAATAGAAATTTATCATCTGCAGACATGTAGATATGAATTTGATATTTTCTTTTATGTCTCTCAACAGCAGCATACCAGACAAAGATTTTTTTTTTTTAATATGCCTTTTAAGGGTTGGCTCAACTAGTAGATAGGAAATACTCAAATTTAATAAAATATATATATGTACATATATGTGTTAGTATATACGGCTCTTTCGTTTATAGACAAACTATTATCTATGCTCACTATGACTAATAACGCCCTAATCAAGCTAAAAATTGTTGGACTGATTAACGACAGCGACAGAGCAGATAACAAGAATTTAAGGTGCCCAACAGATTGTATTTATCGTATCAGAATATCTTAACTGCTACTGAGGTTATTTTTTATTTATGGCAGTATATGAAGGAAGCAGTCATATAGATTGTAAATTAATTTTTTTTATTATAAATAAAGTGAAATGATATGCAGATAACAATTAATATTAACATTAATATTCTTACTTTTTTCTCTTTTTAGAATGGGTTGAAGTTGGAAAGAATTCTTCATTTGAATGTGCGACTGAACACAAGCCTGCAATTTGGATATTTAATAATGAAACCAATTATAAATTTGATACAAGGTACGTTCATAATAATAATAATAATATGCTAATCTATTGATACAACTAATTAACATGTCAATACAATATACAGACTTGTAAACGAATAGTAATTTATTGTGAAATCATTTCCCTATTTTACATTACTAAAGTATTCTGATTCACATTTTTCAGATTTACAATATCTGAGAATATAATAATTCCCGAAGAAAATGCCGATTCGAACTTAAGTAATGATGTCAAAAAGTATAAGAATGTACTTTACATACGCAATGTGAATATATCGGACAGTGGGAACTATGCATGCAAAGATGCTGTGACAAATACTTCCGTGGAGTATAGCTTGCAGCCATTTCTTCAACCGAAAATCATTGAAAGCACCGTTGAGAGCATCAAACGAAAGATCAAGCAAAGTGCCATTATATATTGTGTATTTGAGATATATCCGCAGAATGAAACGACAAACAAGCAGCTGAAATGGCTGAAGGATGGAAGTCCAGTTGCGTTCCTAGACGCCTCTGCCTCGATACACAAGCTGAGCGATACACAATTGAACTTTACACTGGAATTAACAGAGGTTTATAAGAAGGAGAATGGAACTTATAAGTGTGTTCTGCATAACGACGCTGAGGATGAGGTCATTTCGAAAGAAATAACGTTGCTTGTCATGGAAGTGCCGCAAGTCAGCATCGATTATGTGAAAGCTGTTGGCGCTAGTAAAATATACTTGAATTGGACGGTGAATGATGGCAATGATCCTGTTCAAAAGTATTTTATTCAGTATTCACAAGAAGGTTCGCCTGCATACAAATATTATAAAGATATTATCAATGGCAGCTATACATCATATGTCTTGGAGAATTTCAGTCCCAATACAACCTACCATCTGCGCATAAGCGCCAAGAACTCGATTGGCGAAGGCCCTGCCAATCAGTATCCATCTGCTGTGACTACCTTGGATCATGATCCGACATTCATACCAAAGGTTGAAACAACTGGCAGCACAGCTTCGACAATTACCATAGGCTGGAATCCGCCTTCACCCGATCTTATTGAATATATCCAATACTATGAATTGACTGTCTCTGAGGCAGGTGATGTGCCGAAATTGATTGAGAAAGCTTTCCACCAACAGAACTCGAGAAATTTGCCGTATATGTTTGACAAACTGAAGACCGCCACGGACTACGAGTTCCAAGTGCGGGCATGCAGCGATCTGACCAAAACCTGTGGTCCCTGGTCAGAGAAAGTGAATGGTACAACCATGGATGGTGTTGCAACGAAACCAACTAATTTGAAAATACATTGCCATAATAAGAACATTTCTGGGCTGGATTCGATCTCACTCAGCTGGAATGTACCCCAAAATCCCAATGGAAAGATCATTTCATACTTGATTATCCTCGAAGGAAACTACACGTACTATAATCAAGAGGGCGAAATGTTAACGAAGAAATGGGGCCCCAAAATCCGAAGGGTCGATGAGCCCAGCCATAAAACGATCTACGAAGGCGTTAGTCCAAATACTAATTATACTGCAACAGTATCCGCAATTACGAGACATAAGAAAAATGGGGAGGCTGCCGTTGTGAACTGCTTCATGCCAATTTCTACGCCCGAAAAAATTGGCAAAACGATGTGGACAAAGGTTAAGAATGGCCCAAAATACGTTTTAAAATTATATATACCGAAAGTTAGCGAAAGGAATGGACCTATCTGCTGCTATCGACTGTATCTAGTCAAAATAACCAATGGCAATAGCGAACTACCGGCTCCCGAGAAACTAAGCGTGGCTACGTACAATGAAGTGCACAACAATATTAATAAGACCAATAATTATGCCTATATAGCTGAGATGCTGAGCAATCGATACTTTAGATCGGAAATATTTCTAGGAGACGAAATGCGTTTCCTTAACAAGCCTGAAGATCTTATTGACAACGATAATATCTGCCGCAAATGCTTAGACGGTGCACCATTTTTAAGAAAACAAGAAAGTGCCTTGAAAATAGGTAAGATACTAAAGATTATGCTATAATTTATATGTATGTATATATGTGGATAACTTACTAATCATAATTTTCTTTAATTTTTAGATTCCGCCCCAACTCCAGCAGAGATTCAAAAAGAACAGCTACTTAAAGATGGCAATTTAACAGAGCAGGCCATACAAGTCTTAGGAAGTAGAATGAGAATACGACGAAATCCCACAGTTGGCACTGAAAAGGAGAACACAAATAATAGTAATGCGAATAATATTGGAGATATATACGATGGCGAAATAGATATAAATTTCAATTACACTGGCTTCCTTGAGATTATAGGCAAGTTAATTATATAACTACCCAAAATGCGAGCATTTCAACAATATATTTCTTTCCTATTATAGTTCGGTCTGGAAGCACGGTTCTCATGGCTTACAGCGATTACTTTGATGTAATGACACCTGCGACTGAGGCAGAACAAGTACATTCCCTAGATGATTCAAAGTTCTATTTAAATATTGGCATCAAGGCCGCTGCTATATCATTGGGAGTGATTGTCATTTTCATTATATTCTGGATTGTCCATCATCAAAAGACGAAGAACGCAATGCCAGACGAAGATACATTAACTCTAAGGGATTCCTTAAGGTAATTACAACTGATTTGTCCGACTTATAATTTCTTTAAACTCATAATTTGTAAATTTGAATTTCAGAACTCTTTTTAGACGTCGGATCAACAATCACAGCCAGTTCATAGGGTCTGGCAATCAGAAAGGTTTCGATACTGGGCCCATTCATAAAGCAGATTTAGTTAGTGCCTATAAAAATCGGCATAAGGATACGGATTATGGTTTCTTAAGGGAATACGAAATGTTACCCAATCGATTTACTGATCGAACGACAAAGAATAGTGACATGAAAGAAAATGCGTGCAAGAATAGATATCCAGATATTAAGGCCTACGATCAAACTAGAGTTAAGCTATCGCCAATTAATGGAAACCAGAGTACGGACTATATAAACGCCAATTTTGTCATTGGATATAAGGAGAGGAAGAAATTTATCTGCGCTCAAGGTCCCATGGAAAGCACAATTAGCGATTTCTGGCGTATGATTTGGGAACAACATTTAGAGATAATTGTTATGCTGACAAATCTGGAGGAATATAATAAGTCGAAATGCGCAAAGTATTGGCCGGAAAAGGTTTTCGACTCCAAGCAGTTTGGCGATATCTCAGTTAAATTTACTGCAGAACGGAAGACTGGAGATTATATTATACGATCCCTAGATATCACCAAGTCTAATCTGATCGGCGACGAGGAAGATCACAGGCAAATTACTCAGTATCATTATCTGACATGGAAGGACTTTATGGCTCCCGAGCATCCGCATGGCATTATCAAGTTTATTCGTCAAATCAATTCGGTATACTCGGTGCAAAGAGGTCCGATTTTGGTGCACTGCAGCGCAGGTGTCGGTCGAACAGGTACTCTAGTCGCATTGGACTCTCTTGTGCAACAGTTGGAGGAAGAG